CCTACAGAACACTATTCTGTTATTGTGCTGTTGGAGATAAGTTCTTCCTCTTATTTTATATGCGTAGTATTATCGTGAAACAAGTTTTCGAGATTGAATTGTAAATATCTGAGTATCATTGTATAACTTCACAGGTAAATGGTAAAGAATAAAGTATTTTTCTTTTGAATAATAGATTTTTTTATTTTTACTTTCGAAATGTAAAATATTTCCTCATCAGAGGAAATGGATGGGGAATTCGATTGAGACGGTCTGTTTTTATTCAGGTAATTGATAGGAATGGAATTTATCTTTTCGTGTTGTTATTGGGTTTTTTCTTCGATAAAGGAGGAATCCATGGATTTTGAGACAAGTTCATTCAATCTTCCTTTTAATATTAAATTGGATATTAATATTTTAGTCAAATCCCCAATCACAATAGATCAATTCTTTATTATAAGGTCCCAGAGACGAAAAAGTTTCTAGTTAACAGCAAAAATCTTTGAATTTCAGTTTTTTTTCTATTTTTTTTTAGTATGATTGTATTTCAAAATAAGGCACTTTTTTCATACGTAAAAAAATCTTGATTCTTTAAGGTAAGAACTTCGGGGATCTTAAATGACGACCATTAGATAATCAAATTAGGAATATGTTCATTCTTAGATTGATCATTTTTTCCATTCTAAAATTAATCTACTAACGCTTCTAAATTCTTTGTTATGACACTTGATGCTTTGACTCAAATAATTTTTAAGTAATGTTTAATTATTCTAGCATTTCATCCTTTTGGAATTTTCTTAATTTAAGAGCGTAAAGGTTCTTGATTTGCAAATTGAACTTGTTGAAATTCATCCAGTTTATTTGGATCAAGTAAATGTGTAACGTTCAGTTCAAAATCTGGCATTCGAATTCTCCGGCATAACTTTGGTATCTGGGGGACTGATACTTTATACTGAATTGGTAAATTAATTAAACACTTGAATTGCGAATAAAGTCTGGCATTGGTAAAATTGGTAAAATCTTGGAAATCTGGTAAAAACTCGAAATCTGGTGAAATTAGGAAAATCTGGCGTTTTTAATTGCATTCTCTCTAATGAACCCTGGCAACTGAATCACCGGAGCACAAGGGAAAATTAGAACAAAAATTAAAAATACATATTTTTGAGTCAAATAAATAGCTGGAAGGTTCGTCACAAGATTTCAAATGTCCTAAAATAAGATTTTCAAAAGTCTGAATGTCTTAAGTTGAGGGTTTCGAAAGTCTCAATTTGACATTTTAATATTTCAATTTGAGCCTTCTAAAGAGACTTGAGACTTGAGTTTTATTCAAGACTTTTAACCCTAGTTGGTCACCCTACGCGACCCAGCGACTTGGTCACGTTCAGGCCTGAACGTTGCCAAATTCACTGTACACTGCTCGGGCGCGTTTAGCGAATTTCCGGCAACGTCGCGTAATAGGCACTTTGATTTAACATGGGAAATAGTATATTTCGTAACGAGTGCAAAAAAGTGTTTTTTGGCGAGTGGGAGGTTTATATCACGAGCCGAAGGCGAGTGATATAATCCCACGAGCTAAAAAACATTTTTTCACGAGTTACGAACAATATTTTTCATCACAATGTGGCGGAAATTGGACTTTTAGGCACGCGGAGCGTGCCGAAAAGTTCACTATTCGTCTCAGCGTGATGAAAAGATAATTCCTCTGTTAGAAATAATTTGTTTTTTTTTAGGAATTTTAGGAATTATGTTGTTCTATAACTATTCAAATTTTTTAGACACTTTGATTGGAAAAGTCAAATTTTTAAAAAATTTTCCGATCAGTTATTCAATGGCAATTCAAGAAAAACGACGCGCTGCGGCACTTCCCTCATATGGTGACCAATCTAGGGTTAAAATTATCAACTGGAGACTTGAAAGTCTTGACTTGATATTTTTGAAAGTCTCAACTCAACACTTTTGAAACTTTCAATTTAAAGTATTTAAAAATCTCAATTTTCGATCATAAGTTTCAAAATGAAGCTCTTTGTTGGGTGAAATGAACAGGTGTATAGCTCTGAATTTTAGGGATTTTTCGCCTGAAATTATGTAATCAGTTCCTCATTCTTAGTGGAATGCCCTCTACCACGAGTTTCTTAAAATCACTAATTGGTTCTGTAAACTCAAATTTTTTTTTCTCTGAGGAAAAATTTTGAAAAGACATTTTTGTAACTCAAAAAGAGACCGATAAAAAATGTGCCCTGACATTTTTTCCTAGAATGACTCGTTGTACAGAAATAATTTCAACGCTTCATGCTCTACCATTCACTGCTGACAGCCGTGTGAATGAAAAATGACCTCACAGCTCCCCTTTTCTGCGAACCCTCATAATTATTTTCCTCCGCCAAAAATCAAACATATGTTCTGAACTGGGTTAACGGGACAAGTTTTCTACACCGCGGAAGAAGACCGGCATCCAATCACCTATGTACGTTTTTATCTTCACTTTATGTTCTGTCACACTCCCAGTGAAAGAAAAAAAACACTCTTTCATCGTGTGTAATACCGGTATGCGTAAAAGCGCACACCTGTTCCGCAAGTAGAAAGTGTCCAAATTCCTTATTGGGCAGACGCCCGATGTGTAATCTCAGTGACAGTCTCCCATCATTTCTTTTTTTTATGCGTAAAATGTTATTTGACATTTTTTTGTTCTCAATTGCACGATCGCTGGTCAATTTCACACGGGAGTTTGTTGCGGTAAAAAATGATAGAGATTTTATTCGAGTTTTTCATTTCCTAGAATTCTGGAGATCACTTTCGAATTTAATGAAAACGTTTGAATGATTATGGGAAAATAGTGGTCGAGAAATATTATTCTCACGAGATTCTCAATTTTCCATTGAGTACAACATTACAATGATTTCAGAAAAGATTTCGCCGATATTTCTTACAATAACTTTGTAACTAAGTTGTTCAGGACAATTAACAATTCATTTGGTATTTTTTATAGAGAATTTTATGGCCTACGAAAAAGGTCTCTGTAACGATTGAGGTGTTGACGGGAAGATAACAATCCACCAACGAATATAATTAAATTAATAATTACGATTTTTTGTCACGTTAAAGTATGATACAAAAGTATAGGGAAAGTAGTGTGTTCCGATCGAGTGCCCGATACGAACTATTATTCTTATTTGATGTTTAATGGCTCCGGCTGTTTAGAACAGAGTCCACAGTCTAACGGCCGCCGATACGAACTATACTGAATTATATTCGCACGCAGAGGTGTCGGCGAGATTCCCGAATATCCTTATGATTGACGAATAGGAAAAGTTTACGTGCGACACTGAAGGTGCGGGTGAGACAGCAAATGCCTATATGCTCGTCATCAGCTAGAGTCCGCGTGTTAAGAGCTACACTGTTAAAAATTTTCCTCTGAAATTTCCGGTAGGAGTCTTGAAAATTTCTAACAAATAACATTTCCACTGAAATTTACAGGAATTTTGTCATTGAAAATTCATAATTTCATAGAAACGTCCGTAGGAACTGCAAATTTCAGTTTGATTATTGCGGGGAAACTAATGAAAAAGCAGGAAAATTCAAAGGAATGTCTCCTTAAGGAATTCTTTTAAAATTCCTGGAATTCCAAAAATTTTAAAAGAATTCCCTGAAAATTCATGTAAATCGTGGAATTTTCGTCTTTCTGTCGCTAAAAAATTCGGATTTTACTTGAATTTTCAGAGAAACTTGAAATTCTACTGACTTCTTCTTCTTAAATCGAATTCTAAGCCTTTTTTCGGACAATTCAGCGAAATTTTTGTTAACAGGTGCAGCGAAACTTGACATCTCAACATTTATCTCCAAATGATTAGTGCCAGAAATATAAATCAACCAATCTGTATGGAATTCTCGGAATTTTCCTGATTACCGACCGTAGCAAAAGTGTATAACTTCATAATGAGTGATATTAGAAAAAATTTTAACAAGACTTTTTTCAAAAAACAAAAAACCGTCTTTAACCGATTTACGTTATCCTGACTGAATTATCTCAGGAATTATAGGTTCTCGACGAAACCTTCCAAGGACTTGTTTCATAACATCTTTTATAAACTTCAAAAAACAAAACAGATTGCACACACAGTGAAGAGGAAATTTTAGTTTTTAGTCAGAAATATCAACATTTTTAAAGATTCTGGACACTAACTACATTGATGCTGAGGACTCTATCTCTAAAATTTAAGGACAAAATTCCTTAGATTCAGGATTCCAATGCGATTTTCAGGATATTACTCACACACGTTTGGGGTGCTCAGAGTGAGGGAGCACTCTCCCCGCTGTCGCTAATCGCTGAGAAGTTAGGGAGACTCTACTATATTTTACAACTTCGTGTACTAATTTTGGCTAATACATTAGAGCAATTTGCTTCCGCGTGGATATTCCTACTTGGATAGGATCCTCAGAGATTTATGATCCTTATTTGAACCCTATTCTTGATCCTTGATTCTGACCCTCAGTTTTTATCTTATTTCCGATCCTTATGAGCCTCCATTAGATGATTCGACTTTCTTACGGTTATTCGAAAATTGATAATTTGATCGGTACAATCTTCGAACTTGTTTGCGATATCATTCAAAACAAATATTTTAAGCTACAATTAAATCGATTTGGAGAACATTGGCATGGATCCAAACAATCGTTACATTTCTGATCCAAAACTGATCAATGTCAGTTTTTACTGGTCAATCCCTTATTCTATTCTGATTTGAATTCTTACTCGAGTAGTATCTAAATTTGCACTACTTTCCGTTCTACCAGTTCTCCCCCGATTTCTCGTACGCAAAAAATATTCAGCTCACTCTGATATTATCCAACGGAAAAATGCGCAAACTTATAATACTATAATCCATCCTCCCTATAACTCACCGCTAATCCTCCAGGGAAGGAAGCATGAATGAGAAAGAATAATCATAAAAATTCCGTTAGATTTTTATTTGGTCAAGTGTCGGCGAAAAAAAAAAATAAATGCGTGGGACGAGTTTACTCACCCGAGGAGGTGTCCCTGGATGGCCGAGAAGGTCGTGGACCGAGTGGATGATGTGACTGGTAGGGGGGCGGTGTCGCCGCGCTGTCCGAGCCGATACCGCTGCTCGCTGCGCTACGTGTACCACCTCTGTCAATGGCTGTATTACCACCCACAATTGTTTGATTCAAACAGCGACGAAATTCAATCCCCGCTAAATTGCCACGATGTCGATGTACTGTGTCGTAGTCACGAGGCGGAAGAAGAATTGGGCCTACGTCGTTATCACCTGCATTACCTCGACCTACATAAAAATACATTGAAAATAAATGAATCAATTAGGAGAGTTAATGAGCCGTGATGAAGGAACGATTTATTTTGCGAAATAATAAATTCATCTAGGACAAGTAGAAATTGACCGGACTTGAGGAATCTCGATTAATTATTGGTACAAGTTTAATGCATTAATTGACCAAATTTCGTCATTGAGAAAATGGAACCTGATGGCAAAATTTATTCTTTTAGAAAATAAATGGGGAAACATTGTAAGGTAAATGATCCTACGCTCGTGTAGCTAAGGTGAACCCATCATTAGTCCAATATTTCTATTGAAATGAGTGTAAAGATAAGATGTTTTAAATCAGATGTCAGAAAATATTCAGAATTAGAATTCACTCATATTAATCATGATTATTTTTCCCAATCGAATTTCCACAAATCAGAGCGCAGTATTTGATATTTCCTCCTAGCTTTTGAATATTTCGCAGTAGCACTTCATTTTTTTTACCTGAATAGTTCGCAGTACATAGCTCCTCATTTTTTCCGCTCATTTCCGATCGAATCTTGTATTTGACAGTCTTCGGAAATCGGGTCATTCTATTAATTTAATTCATTCAAATCTTTCATAATTCACCTCCTGATATTTTCCACTGCACTCTGATTGACCAAAATCCGATTGGGAAAAATAATCCGACAAATACCTCTCGAGCTTCAAAATTAATCGGGTATTTCACTGACGGTCATTTAGCCGAAAATCGATGTGACCCTATATATTTACTGTGATGATCGAAGTTAAATGAAAAATATAGGCTGTATACTTTCTTCGAAGCTAAAAATATCTACTTAATACTAGTTCTAAGTTATTGAAAACAATACGGTTCTATAACTGGGCCTCGTTTCTTAAGACTTCCGTGGGGGTCACTGACCGTATTCTACTGCAAAAAAAATTTACGAATTTGATCGATCCAAAAAGGTTTTAAACAAATATTGATGACCGAAGGTCATATTTAGCTTCTGGGAGAGGGTTTCTCAACATTTTTAAAGACGAGTGCAGAGATATATATCATCCCTTCCTCGCGATTCGAGCAATTGCAGGTACTCAAACATAAAACTTGACTCCATGAAGGTTCGAAAATTGCGAAAATGGTCCAATCAAATAATAAAAGCAAATTTTCTGCTCCAATGGTTCTAATAATATTAGCAATAGGAGATTTATCTCTGGGATTTTCTCTTCTATGATTTTCTCCAGTAGTCCGCACGAGGTCCGGACAGTTTTATCGTTAGAATTTACATTTTTGATAGTGCTGAATTTGAATCCGCAGTCGATTTTCAACAATTTAATTTAATTGTTTAAGGATTAATATCATGGAAACAGTGGTAAATAGGGGGAAAAGTAGTAAGACAAAAGATGTGTATTTTTACATGTCAAACATTTTTTGGTCGAAACTTTTTTCCCCAATTATGATAGATTGAAAGTTATCTGAGGTAGGAGTGCTTTAGTCCTTACGCGAGGTGTTGACTTATCGACACGCTCCGATACGTTTAACGGCAAAATCCATGAAAATACAGAGAAATTATTTGAATGAACAAAGGTTCGCCATTAAATTTGACATATAATAAGGTTTTTGGCATTTGTCCTCACACTGAGTAATTAATAAGATATTAACAGTTTTATACTGTATGATGGGGTTAATTACCAATAAAATTTTTGTTCATTAGAGTATCGCGAGTAAACGGTTAGAGATATGGGGAAAATTCTGCATCCAAAGGAATTCCATTTGATATTTCGTCTTTTTTCATATCGCCATTATTTACAGATACAACCCGCTACAGTATAATATGAATAAACTCCTATTGAGTCGTTGAGTGTAACGAGAGAAAATGAATACAAAAAGTCCCAAAAAAATCACTGATCATTAATCATTTTTTCCATGAATTCTAACTATGATGAGTAAGAAATTGATCCCTCAATTTTTTTTCTTTAATTATTTTTTTAAACAATAGTTTCTCGTTTGACTAGTGTTTCGACATAAAACGCCATTTCAGGCACGTAGAAACATAAACTATTTATTACAAAATCCTGACACTGACGATAATTTTCATATTAGGCAGAGAATTTTTATTTATTTTTTAATGATTTTTCGACATTTTTTCTAGATTTTTATCTTTTCCCTAACCTGGAAAAGTTCATTTTCTCATTAAAAACTCGGTGTTATTTTTGCACTTCTAGATTTATTATTATTTACAAGACTGCCGATTGAGCACAAACTCAACCAAAATATTTCTATTCATATTAACTTCCGTTTCGACTTTCTTTCCGCTTTTAGTCTTCAAAATTCAAGGCATGTTTACATTACTTCAAGTGCGAGCGCGAGCGGTCCACGCGCTTACCGCAGGCGCCAATGAAATTCAATGTCGAAACCCGCGCTATCTCTCCGTGAATAATGGAAATATGAAAAAAGAGAGAAGACCAAATCTACGTATTTTAAATGGAGAAACAAATTTCGATGCGAAAATTTTCTCCGTATCACTAACCGTTCACTCGCGGAACTGTAATAAACAAAAGCGTTGTTGGTAACTGGCCACATCATGTGGGGAAAATGTCATAAAACTAATTGTATGTAAAATTTAATGGTGAGCATTTTTTTCGAACCAATTTTCTCTATCTCCACCGAGTCGGGTAAACGCACCACCCACTTCGTTCCTACCACCGATAGATGAAGGGTTCTGGGGATAAGTCTTTATCTATCATAGTTAGAGGAAAAAGTTGAAACAAAAAATGTGTATTTTATTATTATTATTATTATTATTATTATTTATTGCTGCACAAAGGTACAAAGCCCCATAGCAGGGGGAAAGCTATACATGAATTTTTAAAATTAAAAATATTCAGTGGTTCGTGAGGCGGTACATAGGTCTGTGTTTCAATATATTAATCTAGTACACAAAAGAAAGAGACCTATTTCTACTAAAGGATTCGCTAGTTGGTATTAAACATTTCTATAATTTCAAATGGAATGATCAGATGGCCGATCCAACGAGAGTCGCAAACATTACATGTAGAAAACATTCAGTATGGTTTAAAGTGGAAGATAAATGACTCGAGGACTGATCCCCATCAAATGCGCGTCTTAATGTTATACATTTGAGGAAGAACTTATACCCACTCTTTATCTCAGTTAAAATGTGTATTTTCAGGTATCAAAAATTTTTTGTTTGAAAAATTTATCCCCCTGAAATTATGTAGTTTTGCCAATAACACATTTTTCAGCAAGAAAATTGTAGTTTCCTGTTGAAATTATCACTTGTTCGATGGAAATTATAAGTGTTTATTGGACAAAGATAGGCACTACTCAATAACATTCACTTGATAAAACCGGAGGCTCATATAATTCTTTGTAGAACGAATGTATTTACCCGAAAGACATATAAATGTCTCACGAGAATAATTACTACTACGAAAATCATCTTGTTCGGTTGGAAACATTCTTTTTTGTCTACAATTAAATTGATTGAGCATGATAAAATATTTCTTCAGGGAAGCATATAATTTTTCGGCAGAACTAATTTTTTCTCTCAGTGTACCTTCCACCGTTTCCGTGATATCATCGCTATTACAATTAAATTATTATAAACAAACAGACCTGACCACAACGTGTGCAAGCTCACTTCGGATTCGGATTCAGCACCATCAAAAACGTAAATTCCAATAATAAAATTTACTGGACCTGGTAGTCCATACTGAAACAGGGCTAGTGTATGAACTACAGCGAAGTATCTAGGTAATAAAAAACGGTAAATTGCAGTCCATAAAATGCGCGATTTTATCTTTTGCAATTTGTTTAAAACGTTCAACAAAAATCTTTGTAAAAAAACCTTAATCACTCTTCATGTTTCCCGCATTTCTTGAGTCTTCTTTTTTCTTTTCTGAATGCACAAGGCCAACTGTTGTTCCACAATTTTACTTCAATATGAAAAAAGAGCTGAAATATCTGGGACAGTATAACCGACTTTCCCCCCAGTAAATATAAAATGCAATTGGACCAGGACATACCTAGTTTAGCCCGCAATTCAGCAGCGAGTGACTCGTATATCGTTGCAGTTTGTGGTGGTATGTGCCGGTGTTCACCACTACCCTCTGATGATTCAGATTCACGTGTACTCCTGCCATCGCTACCCAAATTACTACGGACTCGGGTGTCTGTGGCGTTGACCTTCGTCGAATTATCCGAGTGTGTGGCAAGGGCTTTTAATTGGCCACCCAGAAGTTCGGCGGTTTCTACTGAATCACATCTGCAATCAAAAATTCAGAATTAGGCCGACAGTAACCTTGACATTTATTTCATAAAAACATGAAATGTTCGAAGGAGTTGAGAAAACGAAGTCCCACGCCAAGTTTTATGACATTTCGGAATATTTTCGAGATGGAAAGGATTGGAGAAATTTAAAAAGATTTTTTTTAGTTTTATTGACTATAAGAAAAGATTTTCTGCCATTTCCGTCGGCGTATTCTGTTCGTTTAATAATTATGGAATTATCTCGATATTTGCATAATTTTTTTGAAATTTCTGGATCAATATCTCTGGGCTTTTTTGTCAAGCAAATGAATTGTGAAGAAACGATTTCAGAAAATCCTTGAGAAAATTTTCACAAAAAATTTTTTTAATCATTCCTCCCTGAATCAACCATTACCCAAGATACTTAAGCGATAAAACCATGAATCACTTCAACTTGAACTATTATCCATTTCCATGTTAAATAATTGTCTAATTTACGTAGCATAAAGAAGAAGAATAATCAACCAGTTCATGCAATCATGAATTTCCTTAAATAAAGAATAGATTTATTAAGAAACTTGAATATCTTCCAATCTGACATTCGATTAAGACCTTCACATCTTCATCGTTATAATGATATAAACCTGATGAACTTTTTAAAGTCCTTTGCAACTGCCTATCCGTTTTGCAATTATTTCGGAATTTCCAAAACAATCTGTTGGCCATTTTCGAACTACTAAATCTACTGTTGCGACAAAAAATTTTCATGTCGGCGCACTCTCTGCACGTGTGGCACAAAAAAATCCTTTTTGATAATTTTCAAAAAACTGTTTTCTTGGCACAAGTAAGACTTGTTTGAAAATTCTGTCGTTTTTCTCTGAGTGCACCTTCCCGGTGGTCAATTTTCGGAAAATTGAGTAATGAAGTGGCTAAAGTGATTCCAAAATATTTGAAATTTTGTCAGATTATAGGTCTTAATGAGGACTAACTCCGTGCAAAATTTCAGCCCGATCGATCTAATAATTTTTGGAAAAAAAGCGATTAGTTTTTAAATCGTTTTCCGCAAATATCTTCAAAACTAGGGGACCGATTTAGATTTTTTTTTTGCTTTCAAAATGTCCATTTCCATGCATTCTATCTAAATATATAAAAACATATGAACCGTTCATGCAAAGTTTTCGAGATATTCTCGTTCTCCTGTTTTTTCATTAAAAAAACGTAATCACGCTAGCTTGTGCAAAAATCGAGATGTCAACTTGAAATTTAAATAGAAAATATATATACCCGTTCATACGAAGTATTTGAAACATTGGAATTTTTATAGTACCCATGGAGGTGGCACTAAACATCTGAAATTTTTGCTGCTATTTAGTGTTGTACAGCTATAAACTTTTGTAATGCTTCAGACCACACGGAAAAAATTATTTGGTGGATTTCACCAACTAGTTGTTGAAAAAAATGAATTACCAGCCAGTTGGTGAATTTCAACAGCTGTCATATGCTCGCTGTCTCCTGCTTGTTTCTCTTCTTCTTTATCAAGCAATCATACTACACAAACTATTCCTTGCAAAAATTCTAAAAAAAACATGACGAAAAGGCTATATGAGGAATATCGTCATGATTTCTCCGAGTACCAACCATTACCATGACACTTCAACAATAAGACAATAAATCAATTCAATTTAAGCTATGCCCTCTTTCCATGTTGAATAATCACCTTATTTACCTAGCATAAAGAAGGAGAATAATCGAACCTTAAAGTTTATGTAATCATTAATTTCCCCAAATAAAGAACCTATTTCATAAGACCCTGAAATATCCCCCCAATCTGACATTCGACTGATACCTTCACCTCTTCCTTTACGGAAATTTACATGACATAAACCTGATAAACTCCTTAAATCCCTTTGAATCTCGCCTACCTCTGACTACAATAACTGAACAGAACCATATGGTCATGTGCCTCATACATAATTTACAACTCCAAGTCTCTAAGCACCTGAATAAGACGATAAAATGTGAATGGTTCGATTCTCTTGCAATAAGAGGCTCAATTTCCTCATTTTCAAAGCAACCATCTCTCTCGCCAGTCTTTTCTTAGCCGCAAGTAACCATAAGAAGCCATATATAGAATCCTTCAAAGTAATACACCGGTTCTATTGCCCTGGCACATTAACTGCCAAGTGGTAGCTCAACAACGTGTGAGAAAATTGTGTATAGTGGTACTTGTTCACTCAGCAATGAGCCCCATGAATGCACCCAGGAACGCCGCTCTATCCATTATTTTCATCCCCCCCCCCACTCCTAGGCCCTTGTTACTCCTCAAATTATGGAAATCACATGGATATGCATTGGGCATCACCAGCATCACGCGCCAGTACCGTTACAATCGTGCAAAATCGTTAATTAAGGAGATAGGCGAGGTCATGTAAACGAACGACCCCAAACAAGAGAGAAAGATCTTACGATGAACTGGTTGGCCTTGTTGTATCACGAATTACTACACGCATGTGAGAAGAATGAAAAAATACTCTCACACTCGATACTCAGGGGCTTCATTGTGCTCGTGGGGTACCAATAAGAATTTCGACTTTATTCAGATTCCATTCAGTTCCTTTATTTTTCGGATTCCCAAGGCTGTTTTGGTTGTCTCTTAGATGATAATTGGGGCAAAAGGTCGTATGAACGAGTTTCTGGACTTATCTCGCATCATGAAGGCTAGTCTGTGTGGTGTAAATCTGGATGTTTCGAGACCCTTTTTCATTTATTACAAATTTTTGCCTGTACCGGATATGTTAGCAGCAAAAGATTTATGGATGGAAGGAAGCCTATCTGATAGTAACGCCTGAAGAACTCCTTCCCAAAATCCAAATATGACCTTTTTCTCATGAACAGTTTTGGTCTACGGAAAAAGGGAAACGTAACATTCATGAGATTTTCGAGAAAATCATGAAAACGGAATGAATAGTCTTATGTTAGGAAAATTGTCTTGATATCTCAGGAATTTTACTGTTTCCTTTTTCTGTGAACTAACGTCGCATGAGATAGGCAGATCTGCTTTGGGACTTTGTTACAAGATTGCTACAATATCATTATCATTATTTTATTTAAGGATTCATTTCTTGTTTGAAATGATTATTGTTTTCATTTCTTATTTCTTGATTATTGCACAGCCGAAAATAAAAACTACTATTACTTGCTTTGCATAACACGAACATTTTCCGGGAGCAAAATATATATGGGAGTATCTAGTAAGAAGTAGAACACTATTTTTTGGAACTACGACATCTATTTTTGCGATTAAAAGAATCCGTTGCGGCACAATCTTAGCATGTTTGGTATGAAACGATCCTTTTTTTTATTGTTATTTTACATCGCTTCGACTCGGTTGAGTATATTGCGATGATGATCAAGACTTTAAAATGGTTAGATCTCACCATTCTGCCCGACCGGGATTTGAACTCGGAACCTTGCGCACGTGAGGCAACGACTTTAGTCACTGTGTCAGGCCGTCGGGCAAACAATCCTTTTTTGATAATTTTTAAAAAACTATTTTTTCAGCACACGTAAGACTTATGTCTGAGAATTCTGTCGTTTTTCTCTCAGTATGGATTATAAACTATTTTAGCGCAAACGTTTGCATTCAAACCTCTTATTCCTAGAATAATCGCATAATTTTTTAGGGAAATGGTGAAACAAAATGATTCAATTGTGGAATTAACGGGAGAAAAGGAAATTTTTCGTCGTTTTTTCGTGATTTTCATTTTTAAAAATATTGATATAAATAAATGTCCTGTAATGGATATATTTCAAAGTACCAATTGATATACCCGTGCTTTGATAACTTTCCTAGCATTATGATTTTGCAGAGTCTGATGAAGCTAAAATAATTAGCGAAACGTTGCTTTTTTCACAATCTAATCAGAGTTGTAATTAATTTCCAACATCTCTTGACCATTTATATTGTTCAAAAATTCATCCTCAAGTCCAGTCCACTTATCTATTTTGGGCACTTTGCCACGAAATTAACGAAGATATCGCGTTTGATGCGAAATGCTCTACCACTTCCACTACCGAAAGCCACCTGACTCAACAATCTCTTGGGTAATTACATTTTTTTGATTATGAAATGTAATAAATAGACCCATTAAATTTATTTCGCACCAGCTCTCACGTCGTAATTGTTTCATGAATTGTAACTCTGTTGAACTTCAATTTTTTTCTGTTCTCTCCACTGTTTGAATTTTTTTCATTCATAAATAGTTTCGCTCCAACAATTAGCCTCAATTAAAGAAGTTCCTGGATAAAGTCAGACGTAACAACGTTTAATTCTCTGACATCTTTTTTTCTCATTCCATGTTTTTCATCTCATCCCATGTGTGTTGGATTTCTTTATATCGGGTTTCAAGTCGCCAACAATTCACTGTAACTTTATTTTCTATTCATTTTCTTTCAAAATGAAAGCATTGTAATCATCCGATTTTCTCATTTTCTAATTTTGACTGAAATGATGCAGAATGGTCTGAAACTGAAAAATACGGAGTTAGCGACCATGCCTGTATGTGAAGACGTCACCGCCACCTTCTCGGTGATCAATTTTTAGAAAATCGAGTAATTAAGTGGATAAAGTAATTCCAAACAATCTGAAATTTTGTCAGATTATTATTCTCAATGTGGACTAACTCTAGTTTTCTTAAAATTCTTGTACGCACGATAACTGTGGAAAAAATGAAGATAACAAGTTGGAATTTGGTATGATTATAGCTTTTATAATATTGAAGATTGTTATTTTGGATGGACTCAATCGGTCAAACGATTCCTGAGATATTCAATCTATTGTGTAAATTTATTTCATTAAACGGAAATCTTCTTATCGATACATCGCCTGTCACAAGGAGAGGGAATTGCTACGGATCCGGTTGGAAGCTTACTACCAATAGAATTGGTAGAAATGAAAAAAAAAACAAACAGGGGTACGAGCCAATCCGACAGAAGGCATGTGATCGTTACTCTTTGCGTCATCAGTCTCTTTCTTTTTTATATTTTTACCAATTCCATTGATAGCAAACTTCCGAAAGGATCCGTAGCAATTCCCTATCCTTGTGACAGGCATACAACCGTAACCACAGGAAAATATTGAACTTTTTAATGAAAAAAATTTATACAAAAGGTTAAATATCTCCGAAACTACGCGGCCGGTTGCGCCTATCCCAAAAAACCAACCTTCAGTATTGTAAGAGCTATAATCATAGCAAATTTCAAATTGCTATTCCCATTTTTCACAAGCTATCGTGGGTACAAGTATAAAAAAAATTAAAAAACGAAAAAACACAAATATTTCGAAAACTTCGTATGAACGGAAATATATATTTTGATTGATCCAGATAGTGGCTACCAAGGCGAAGGTATTTTGAAGAAAAAAATTGAAATATCCGTCAAGTAGTTCACGAGATATTTGTAGAAATATATTTACACGAAAGGTTGCATATCTCAGGAACTGCTTGGCCGATTGCGCCCATCCAAAATACCAACCTTTAGTATTATAAGAGCTAGAACCATACCAAATTTCAACTTGCTAGCTCCTTTTTCTCTCAAGTCATCGTGCGTACACGATTTTTCATAAAAAACGGAAAAACGGTAATATCTCCAAACTGTGCATTCAAGAGTCTATATATTCTGATTGACCTGCATTGAGGCCATCGAGACGAGTATTTTGAAAACAGAATTTCAAATCGGTGTAGTAGTTTTTGAGATATTGAGGAAAAACGCAATTTAAACAAGTTATTATATCTCAGGAACTACTGGACCGATCGGGCTAAAACAGCGCACCAAAGTTGAGTTCAATAATAGCTACAATTAGCCACAATTTCAGATTTTTATCTGCAAATGTCATCGTATTTATATTGAATTTTCTAAAAATTAATCACCAAAAACCCAAGTTGTCGGATACATACATGCAGTCACGGCCCTAAAAACGCCATCTCTTCACGTTTCATAACATTCTACACCATTTGCACTCAAAAATAGAAAATCGAAAAATCGGTCAAAAACAAGGCTTCCATTCGGAAACAAAAGACTAATAACGCAGAAGATAACGGTTACATGCCTCCTGTCGGATAGGCTCCAACTCCCGCTTGTTTTTTTCGCGAATGTAGTCTATGCACATATTTCCACACTTACTACAATTTAAAATTGCGGTAATCAGTGAGAAAATTTGGATTTAGAACAGCAACCAACTTTACCATTGTACTCCACGTATCGTTGCATTTTTACATTAGTCCCTCGGATCCCAGTATTACTCAATTCTAGTTTAATGAATTCTCTGTTACTGTACCATGTTATCTACCATTGTATTCACCTGGCTGTATCCTGTCGCAAAAATTTCATTTCACTAGATTCAACGGTCAAATGATTCTACATAAAGAAATTATGTTTATGTACTCGACGACCTCGAGTGGCCTTTCTAACTCTCCAACCATCAATTCCATATTAATTCCCATCGAATGCAAGTGATCATTAACAAATAGAAAACTACTTTCAGTTTCATCCAATATATTAGCTTTATTGATGAAGAAATTACTTTCACAATATTTTTCATCGATTATCATACTCTTTCTTTCTCTGTAAAGATTTGAATTATGAGAAAATGAATCAAATGTAATGGTTTCACCTTTATTGGCGTAAAATCACTGCAGTTAGTCTCTTTAATTTCATTTCCGTGAACTCAACGATCAGGTCACTTTCAATTAATTGAACGTTTAATGAACAATGGAACGATGGAAATAGTTACGCCGAAATTATCTGCTGTTGGAAGATTTTCATGCCATTAAAATTACTCGTTTTAAATACATTTCGATAATTAACAAATTTTATTCCCAAAATTATAACACAAATCTAATGGGGAACTAGGATTATTTCATTTTTACGAACCTGATATCTTGTAATGGATTACTCCTAATGGAATTTCTGGTAATCCAACGCTAGAATGAGAAAATCAAGTAGTTGAGTGGCAACTGCTGTCCAACTCCATATATCTATCTCTTGTTAATTATACAATTATCTCAATAGTTATCGATTTCAAGAGAAAGTACTGAGAGATTTAGTAGTTGCGAATTTCTTGAGGTCCTTTTCACCTTCTGTTCGGAAATCATTAATTTACCAGATATTCGCATAATTATCAAAATGATCAAATACGACCTGAACTACGCAATTGCTTCACAGCAGAACTGTATAAAAAATCAATGATAAAAGTGATAATTTAATATTAATAATTTTTCCATACATTTCCTCTAATTTATTTCCTCGAATTCATCGCTCCAACGAAAAAATATAGCTGAGAAATGTTATGTTCGTCTACCTGACATAAATCTCATTGTTGAAATGGAATCATTTCGGCAATGTTTAACTGCAGGAGTTGTCACAGCAAAAAATGTTCCCAACATTTTTTACACAAATCTTTGACTTTTAAGCTATTCATATAAATTACACAATTTTCCGAATCTCACTTGAAAAAGTTTTCTGAATTGAACAAAAAACAGGGATTGAAAATAATGTTATTAAAAGTTACAACATTTGTTCTTGATTTGAAAATAATTTCTCTTGATTTGCTCCACTACATTTTAAAATAGTACGAAAACAAATTCTACCGAATTAAATTTTTTTCATTCCTATTTGCGTATCGGGATGGAATCCCCCTGCATTTTCAATGCCACCATTTGCAACCTTTTATTTTATAGTGTTTTCAAAAAGGAAAAAATGTTCTTAAACCAAGATTATTTTTTAGATTTTTATTTCATACTAGAAGGCTTCGCCCCCTGCTCGCTGCGCTCGTCAACCCCGGGAGGGGGACTTCACCGCCACCCCCCGCTGGCTTTGCTCGCTCCCCCCCCCCCTCCGGTGTGACCGTGAGAGATTGTGGTAGCCATTGATAGGGGTGTCTATATAGGGCCCTAGTATAGGGGAACCCGACCCTCGGCCGACATTGACTTAACTCTGGGCCGACATTGGCTCGACCCTGGCTGAGCGTCGCCTGAATTTTCAGCGACTCCTGAATCTTAACCGTCGCCTGAAATTTTGGCCTTATTTTTTCATTATATAGAGAAAAACTTTCTTTGCACAATAATCTCAGTTCCATAACACCGTAATGTCATCACCTATTCTCTGTAATGTTTCTTTTCAATTCAGTTCTCTATCGATAAGATACAGCTGGGAACTGCTGAAAGAGTCATCTCATTAAACATTTAATCTTAATAGACTTGACAATTATCGTGATAATTATCAAATCTAGCAGAGAACATCAGAAGACAATTTTTATTTTAACTGAAGAAATTTGCAGCAGAAGATATTTCCTCACAGCCTCTCTTCAAATCATTCATTCTGGAGATGATTACATAATCAACGAAACTGTCTCCTCTTAAAAGTCCTGTTCAGGACAGTCAATACTGCCTTACTTTGTACCTGGAAATTGAATGCTCAGATACATCCAAACAATAAAATTATATCACTGGAGTACTGAATAATTTATAACATTCAGTGGTAAACAACTTTTTCTCCCCATTTCTGCCTGACTGCATGAACATTGCGAGTGCCTGTGGTCACAATTTTCAACGGTATTTCTTTTTTGCCACCAGTTGTTTTTACACAGATTTTTTCCGTAATTTCGTTGCCTTTAATACCGTGGGGATATAATGGTGAATGGAAGAGGGAAAAAATTTTATAAGAGGCAAACCTGTAGGCGTGAACGTGAACAGGATTATTGGTAGCTGGGTTGGGAAGAAGAAGCGTGGCGGCGACAACGTCCTCCCGTTGTACAGCAGCAAGAACTGCATGACCTGGCACAAGATGCTTCACCGCAGACCTCGTCGATGCGCCCGGATGAACCGTCTGAATGATCTTGAGTCCCTTGCTGCTTACCTGTTTAAATATTAATGATTGATACATTATTAATGAATTTATTCAACGTGTTGGCGAATGATAAATTCGATTAAGCAGGGAATCACTTAATTCTAAGCAAAGGTTGCTGAAATATTCAACAGAAGCCAGTTCATGGATACTCTCAATGGTTTTTTCATTTGAAGTAGGTTTAAAGTTATTTGAGGTCAAGTTTTAAGAAACTAAATTAAATTATTATCAATTATTGTCATATTAATTTTTCAGAAAGTTAATTGCATTTGTTATTTCAACTCAATTTCGTATGTAATGATGAGGTTATCATACTCAAATACATATTGGGAATGAAAATCTTTATAAATCATGATTTTTATCAATTCTAATCTTTATAAATTTTTATAATTAAAAAGAAGTTATCGTGCGTACAAGATTTTTTATGAAAAACGGAAAAACGACAATATCTCTAAACGGTGTGTTGAAGAGTCTGTATATTCTCATTGACCTACATAGAGGCCATCGAGACGAGTATTTTGAAAAAAAATTGAATCGGTGCAGTAGTTTTTGAGATATTGAGAAGAAACGAAATTTAAACAAGTTGTTATATCTCAGGAACTACTGGACCGATCGGGCTGAAACAGCCCGCCAAAATTGAGCTCAAGAATAGCTACAATGAGCCAAAATTTCAGATTTTTATCTTCAAATTTTACTGTATTTATGTTGAATTTTCTAAAAATTAATCATCAAAAGCTCAAGTTGTCACATACATACATACAGACATGACCCTAAAAACATAATTTCTTCATTTCATAATATTCTAGACCATTTGTAATCAAAATTAGAAAATCGAAAAATCGGTCAAATACAAGGCTTCCATCCGGAGCGAAAAGGAGTAAAGTTCGAGTTAAAAATCTGAAATTTTGTGGAATAATTGGAATCTCTTGCGATCTCATCTGGGCGAAATTTCAGCTCAATCGGTCAAGCTATTTTTGAGAGATAGCAATTCCTCGAAAATCGCTTCGAAATTTTTTTTGCGATATCTCAAAAAACTACGCGACTGAAATGAATTTTTTTGACGTCAAAATCTTCTTTATAATTATATCTATCAAATCAAGTTACAATATCTTCACATAACCAGGGACAAATTGATAATAATTGGGATTTTTCATTTTTTCAATAAAATCGATGTATACACGATTACTCTTGAAAAAATTGAGATAGAAAGTTGAAATTTGGTGTGATTGTAGCTCTCATGATATTACAAGACGGGCTTTTGGGTGGATAAACTCGGATGAGAAGTTTAAAGGATATTCAGCTTTTTGCGAAAAAATGTTTTGCTTAATATCTCCTGAGCTACTGGTCAAATTTAATTGTTTTTCAATATACTCGGCTTGAAGTTCATAAAGTGATGTTCTACACGGAGAGAAATATTCAGTGGTAATACCCTAAGAGCTTCAAGATTATCGGGTATTTTTCGATAGCTTCGTTGCAAACAAATGAGGGTGTCAAGTTTTGCACGTTACAAAATCCCGAACTTGCGCGAGTGATTTTTCTGCAAAACTTGGCACGATGGTTTGTTTGCACACTGAGAAAAAAAATTACTTTTGCCAAGTATATTTACTAAATACAAGAAAATTTGCACATGTCTTATGCAGATATTTGTATAGATTTGTGGCAAGTAAATATACTTGGCAAAAGCAATTTTTTTTCTCAGTGCAGGGGAGCTTGAGAGAAATACTCGATTAATTTTGAATCTCGAGGGGTATTTGTCGGATTATTTTTCCCAATCGGATTTTGGCCAGGCAGAATCCAGTGGACAACATCAGGAGGTAAATTGGGGAAGATTTGAACAAATTATGTTAATAGAATAACCCGATTTCCATAGACTATTAAATATAAGATTCTATCTGAAATGGGCCGAAAAAATGAAGAACTACTGCGAAATATTCAAAAGCTAGGAGGAAATATCAGAAATAACTGTCGGGTAGCCTCAAATACTGCGCTCTGATTGGTCAAAATCCGATTGGGAAAAATGATCAATAAAAATTACGTAAATTTTCCGTAATTCTGGAGCGAAATGTGGTTGTAGAAAATTTTATGGAATTGTCACGAAATTTTTTCAGAGCGTTCCATAATTTTCATCGGAATCTCCTGTGAAAAATTACGATACCGTCACTTCAATTTTCTACGTCGATTCCGTAATCGGTGAGCGAATTGTGAGTTCCGTAATTTTTACTGAACCTTTCTCTCCGTGTATTTTTTTTATCTAAGCGTTGTTCTGACGTACCGTAATACAAGTATAAGTTGGCATAAGAATCGAAAATATTGGGTCCATGGATTTAATCCATCTTGTATCCTCCGTTTTATGAAGATAAAATTCAACCACTATCTTCTGAACAGTAAACGGATTCGATAATCAGAGAAAGATTATTGCAATCTTCATGGTATTGAATCTTCGTGAATTATTTTTGCGTTTTTCTTATCGCTCTCAACTAGGTAAACCGCATGAATATTCATTTTCCCAATGCCAATGGTCAACTTTCTAAATTCACAAATGAGCTTCGTAATTGTTTAATTATAATATCTTAGTAATAAACGATAGAATAAATTATCAGAAGATCTCTTTTGTGGAGACTTTTATGGACTACAGATTTACATTCCCCCTTGCCTTTTGACATTTTCCTTCAAGTTCGTCCACCTCCTAGTTGGCCAATACAGCATTGACTTCATTTCTTCCACGACTATCGATACAATTTCGAGAAATTTCTATGAACCCATTGAGAGGGGATTCCTTTGAGTTCTGAGGGGGCTTGACTTGTCTTCCAGTCAACCAATCAGTCCCCAATACCTCAGACACACCAAACATTCGCGAAGCAATGTTACATGCCAGTTTCTCAATACATATTCTCTTTTTTCCTCTCCTCCCCCTTTTTTACTCTCCGTACCCCGCGGGCATTTGGCGTGTCGCAATATGGCTCGTGACCGATGGATGTCTCAACGATTCATTCGAGAGCCGGTTACCGATTCATTGTGCACCATACGGAATGGAGGTTGAAAAAGGGATCGAAGAAGCCACTGATCAACCGTTAACTCCGGTGGATTATCTTGGAGTGTGTGTTGAAACTAGTTTTTCTTCCCAAAACATTGCCAGACGTGGTTTCAAAGGCACAAGGGTAATGAATAAGCAGGAAACGATTTTTTATCAATGTAGTCAGAAAGGAAACGGTTTATTGTGGATAGCAAAAATGAAAATCAAAAATTGGATAAGTTGCACACTGGTAGAATAAAAATAGTACATTATGTCATCAGGTGATAAAAGTATTATCGGGCGAATGCGACTTTATAATCCGAGCCGAAAGCGAATCACAAAGGTGATAATCATATTCGTCAGATAATACTTTTATCGCCGTGTGACATATAATATTTCTCGGGCCTAGTGACGAAAATGAAATTCCATGGTCAAATTGGGACTGTTTTTGAGTAGGGTGACACTGAATTCAATTGGGAGGGGATCATGAAATTTCAAAATCGTGCTTAAAATCAAAATGATTGAAAATTGAAGATGAGGTCTTCTGATATCTATTGATTTTCATAGAATAACTGAATTGAAATTGACCACACGAGAAAAAAAATATGCCTGCATTGAATATATATGACACTGGAATCAAGTATACGTATAAACCTGAATTAAGAATGAAATATACTTGATTCAAGTCCATTTTATATTCGAATGGGGGATGAGTATTTCAATTCGAGAATGATTCTTTCCAGAATATTGGGGTCAAAAAATTCGGCCCAGAATATAAAAGTAAAAAGAAATGAGTGTCAGGTAATGAAAATCTAAAAATGTCTCTCTATATTATACAAATTCAAATCGACTTCTGGTGATGCAAATTTGGTACTCACAATTAAGACTCCAAAATTAAGGGCCAGAAGTGACGGGTCAAAAGCCAAGGGTTAGACACTAAGGGTCACAAGGGTTATGAGGATCAGAATAAGGGTTCGAGGGTTCCAATGAGGGGTCAGAATAAGATTAAGGGTCGCAAGGGTCAGAATACGAGTGCAAATAAGCGTCATGGGGGTCAAACTAAGGGTCATGTGGGTCATACAGGGGTTGGCGAAAGGAGCGAGCACGGGACGTAGCCCCCTAGTGACATATGGGGGTCATATGGGATTATATGGTGTGACTGGGTCATATGAGGGTGTTCATATTGGGTATCAAATGTAGAATCAAATTTAGAGTGGTTATACTATGGAAGGCGTTGGTTAGAGCCTTGTGAATACGATGATTGTGAAATGCTGATCGTAAACTGTTCATAGCGTGATGTTTTGCTTTTTTCTATTTCTATTTCTCAGGTGTACCAAGTCTGTTGAGAATGACTACCACTGATATCAGTTATCCAACACCTGTCAAGAATATACAACCTAAACATACCCAAGGAAATTGGGGGGGGGGGGGGGGGTCGTTCTAAATTTTACATGCATAACTGCCGGAAAAAAAATTGATACATACATTTTTTGTACAAACAATTCTGAATTTTCGCTAACATTTTTTACTTTTATATTCTAACCCCAATTTTTTTACCCTAATATTGCGACCTTCATTTTTTAGCCTCCACTTTTTGACCCATATATTCTAACACTTAGCTATCAAATATATTATATACTCAAATCGAGAATAATATAGTGTAATATATTTTATTCTCTATAGAATAGTATATTTTATTCTTGATTCAGGTTTAGGCACATATTTCATTGTGATATAAAATATACTCCTTTCAGGTTTTTTCGTGTATTTCCATTAGTTTATTCATCAAATCGGGAATTTTCAATGACGAAATTTCTACAAATTTCAACCGAACTGTCACTTGATAAAAAATTTGAAGGAGTATACCGACAATTAGAATCTAAAATTTTTACTAGTGTAGAACAGGTTACAATGGGTAGAAACTAATGGATATAACTTTCACACTGATAGTCCAGTCGATGTGCTTCAAAAAACGCATTTGTTGGCAATTTTTCGTAAA